AAAAAAAAAAAAAAAAAAAAAAAAAAGTCCAGACCTGCAAATTCCTACACCAGAGAGCAGAAAACAAAAGGACAAGAGAGTAACATTTCCAGCTTTGTGGGTGGTAGGATCTCTGCTGCGGTTACCCCACTCTGCTGTTGTACCATGAAAGCAGCCATTGCTGATATGTAAACAAGTAGGTGTGGTGGTATTTGAATAAAACTTTATTTACAACCTCATGTTCTCACTCATATGTGGGAGCTAAAAAAGTGGATCTCATGAAGGTAAAGAGAGAGTGAGTTATCAAAGGCTGGAAGGGGTGGGTTAGTTAATGGGCACAAACACAGAGAGAAAGAATAAGTTCAAGTGTTCAACAGCGCAGAAGGGTGACTATGGTTTACAACAATGTATTGTATATTTCAAAATAGCTAGAAGAGAAGATTTGAAACATTCCCAGCACAAATGATAAATGAGCCAGGTGCAGTGGCTCACTCCTATAATCCCAACACTTTGGGAAGCTGAGGTAGGCGGATCACCTGAGGTTGGGAGTTTTGAGACCAGCCTGACCAACATGGAGAAATCTCATCTCTACTAAAAATACAAAATTAGCTGGGTGTGGTGGTGCATGCCTGTAATCCCAGCTACTCAGGAGGCTGAGGCACAAGAGTTGCTTGAATCTGGGAGGCAGAGGTTGCCGTGAGCCAAGATGGCGCCATTGCACCCCAGCCTGGGAAACGAGAGCGAAACTCCATCTCAAAACAACAACAAACCCTGATTCCCGAATGCTCAGGGAGACTGATTTGAGTAATAATAAAACTGCTGTCTCCCACACAGTCAGCTCTGCGTGAATTATTCTTTCTCCACTGCAATTCTCCTGTCTTGATAAATCAGTTCTGTCTAGGCAGCAGGCAAGGTGAACCCATTGGATGGTTACATATCTGGGGACTCGTCTGGGATTGGTCTTGTGGCTACCCGCTCACGGTTTGGTACCCCCGCTCCAGTGATGGGTGCAGCAGCCAGCCCAAGTGACCGCCTAGTTCTCTTGGTTTAGGGGCTGACTCTGGCACCCTCTCCACTGGTGGGGCACTGCCAACCCAATGTGCATGGATTTAATTGCAATTCCCCTGTCTTGATAAATTGGTTCTGTCTAGGCAGCGGGCAAGGAGAACCCACTGGGCATCTCACCTCTCAAAGGCCCTACCTTCTAATGAAGCATTGAGGGAATGTACTCTCTTCCCGGGTCCACAAGGGGGCGTGGTTTCAAAGGCAAGAACTTCCCAGTGCCATACCTCCACCTACCTCTCCGTCCGGGAGCTTAGAGTTCTTTGTCAAACTTTCACCAGCAGGAAGACAGACTGCCCAGGTGAGCTTTTCTAAACAAAGAAAACCCAAGGGAGGATTCTGGAACAAAAAACAAATCAAAGGTCGGAATCAAAGATCAATCACTGCAGAGGAACTTTAAAAGAACTCCTTTCACAGGACAAAAAACTTGAATAGGGTGGGAATAACTCCCAGATTAAAAGTCCCCTTCTCCCTCATCTGGGCGGACTCATCTGTGATCCCCTTCCACGACATCGTGGGAGCTGCCTTTCCTTCTCCTTTTCCTCTCTCTCTGCCTAAATAAGTCACTTTCTGCAAAACTCTTTGGGGTCCAATATTTAGTTAAAATGAGCTCACTGCGCCGGGCGGGGTCCTCTCCCTGATTCTTGGGTGAGTGAGGGACCAAGCGCCTGGAAGAACACATTCTATTGGGGAGCAACCTGAGCTCATCATCCGCAATTTGGTCACAGCATCATTGTCTGGGGTAAATACCTTGAGGTTCCTCATCTCATGCCACGGAATTTGGGGACGCAGACATACAAGAAGTGAATTTAAGGGTGGAGATTTAATAAGCAAAAGAAAGAGAAAACAGAATAGCTTCCCTAAAATGTGTAAAGCCAAGCTGCACCCCAGCCACCTTGGGTACATGTTCTCAGGACCTCCTGAGGGCTGTGTCACAGGCCATGGTCATTATCATCGTTGGCTCAGAATAACTCTCTTCAAATAATCTGCAGAGTTTGACTCTGTCGATAAAACTTAAGTCCTGGCCGGGCGCGGTGGCTCAAGCCTGTAATCCCAGCACTTTGGGAGGCCGAGGCGGGTGGATCACGAGGTCAAGAGATCGAGACCATCCTGGTCAACATGGTGAAACCCTGTCTCT